TCGACTCTCCTTTCACTTCTCATTTGATTATTTAATTTCATTTACTCACCATATCATGTCAGTTCTAACTTCAATGCGCGTTTCTTGCGATTACCAAGTACAAGACGATTCACCATATCAGGATTTAGGTTTAAATTTGGGTCACTAGAGTAATTCTATATTATCACTGGGAATGGTCAATAAAGCAGTTGCCTGCATATCATTCATCAAGAACGAACACTCTTTCACAAAGATAAGAATGCAATTTCCCATTCGAAGCTTTTTGGAACTATTATCTTTCCATAATTGGTGGAATCGTCGAGCAGAAACTGACACCTTCGCCAAAAATCACATGTGTCATATCCGTATAGTATCTATTTTGTCGAAATTACACAATAATAGGTATATTTTAAACCATTATGGCGGACTACGTTCACACAAAATAGGTATGAATAATCACATAGTACAACATATGTATAAATATATACCATTTTACTCAATCAGACACTTTTGGCTATTATGAAGATCATAAATAATTAAATATGTAATTTTCATTCAATTGATTGATACTCCAATAAAGGAAACAGGAAACAGGTCCAATCGCATTCAACTGTAGTTCTTTTGATATGTGATGGAATTCACTGAATAAAAATATGTTCACTCCCAATTTCAAATTCAACGCAAAACGAAAATGTGACCTCAATTTTCAAAATGATCCACTAGTAAAAACAAAGTCAATACAATTGCAATTTTTTTTCCTCAAAAATATTGCATCGGCTTGTCAGGCCTCTTGAATTCATTTTCCCTCACGATAGTTGTGATTCTGTGATACGTTCTGAGATATTACTTCGAGTTTTATGGTGTGAAGAATATTTGTTTGAAGGTGATTGACAATGTTTCATGATGAATTTCAATAGTTCGGACTTCCATTGTCTACTATATAAAATGATTTGAAATCCCTGAAACAACTAAAAAAGAAGAATTGAAAATGAATAGCTGAAAATAACAATTATATTAACCATCACCCCATCCATTGGTAGCTATCAAGTTTATCGCGTTCAGACAGACAGATAGATACGCAGGTGCGGCAGGAAAATATTTTTTGTCATATGCATATATTGAAACTGTTTTATCCACAATGTAACTCGAATTTCAATTTTATTGTTCGGTTAGTAAACTTTGTCAATATCAATGTTGATTTCTTTGACAATATTGAAGTAAATCATCTCTCCTTCTACTTTTCTTCATATTTTTTTTTCACATTATGAATATTTTCACAATATTTTTTTCTGAATGAAGTTCTTGAGAAACACAAAAAACCTCGGGAAATTTTGTGGATATATAGTTGAAAATTTCATTTCTGTTAATATAATAACTTTAGTAAGCATTCCGGC